AGTGTGAGTACGGGCTAATGATGAAACCTGGGGAGAGTAGACAGATTATCAGGGCAGTGTGAGTACGGAGTGATGGTGCAACCTGGGGAGAGTAGACAGATTATCAGGGCAGTGTGAGTACGGGCTAATGATGAAACCTGGGGAGAGTAGACAGATTATCAGGGCAGTGTGAGTACGGGCTAATGATGAAACCTGGAGAGAGTAATCAGATAATCAGGGCAGTGTGAGTACGGAGTGATGGTACAACCTGGAGAGAGTAGTCAGATAATCAGGGCAGTGTGAGTACGGGCTAATGATGAAACCTGGAGAGAGTAATCAGATAATCAGGGCAGTGTGAGTACGGAGTGATGGTGCAACCTGGAGAGAGTAGTCAGATAATCAGGGCAGTGTGAGTACGGGCTAATGATGAAACCTGGAGAGAGTAGACAGATTATCAGGGCAGTGTGAGTACGGAGTGATGGTGCAACCTGGAGACAGTAGTCAGATAATCAGGGCAGTGTGAGTACGGGCTAATGATGAAACCTGGAGAGAGTAATCAGATAATCAGGGCAGTGTGAGTACGGAGTGATGGTGCAACCTGGAGACAGTAGTCAGATAATCAGGGCAGTGTGAGTACGGGCTAATGATGAAACCTGGAGAGAGTAATCAGATAATCAGGGCAGTGTGAGTACGGGCTGATGGTGCAACCTGGAGACAGTAGTCAGATAATCAGGGCAGTGTGAGTACGGGCTGATGGTGAAACCTGAGAGAGTAATCAGATTATCAGGGCAGTGTGAGTACGGAGTGATGGTGCAACCTGGAGAGAGTAGACAGATTATCAGGGCAGTGTGAGTACGGGCTAATGATGAAACCTGGAGAGAGTAATCAGATAATCAGGGCAGTGTGAGTACGGAGTGATGGTGCAACCTGGAGAGAGTAGACAGATTATCAGGGCAGTGTGAGTACGGGCTAATGATGAAACCTGGGGAGAGTAGACAGATTATCAGGGCAGTGTGAGTACGGAGTGATGGTGCAACCTGGAGAGAGTAGACAGATTATCAGGGCAGTGTGAGTACGGGCTAATGATGAAACCTGGGGAGAGTAGACAGATAATCAGGGCAGTGTGAGTACGGGCTAATGATGAAACCTGGAGAGAGTAATCAGATAATCAGGGCAGTGTGAGTACGGGCTGATGGTACAACCTGGAGAGAGTAATCAGATTATCAGGGCAGTGTGAGTACGGGCTAATGATGAAACCTGGAGAGAGTAATCAGATTATCAGGGCAGTGTGAGTACGGACTGATGGTGCAACCTGGAGAGTAGTCAGATTATCAGGGCAGTGTGAGTACGGGCTGATGATGAAACCTGGAGAGTAGACAGATTATCAGGGCAGTGTGAGTACGGACTGATGGTGCAACCTGGAGACAGTAGTCAGATTATCAGGGCAGTGTGAGTACGGGCTAATGATGAAACCTGGAGAGTAATCAGATTATCAGGGCAGTGTGAGTACGGAGTGATGGTGCAACCTGGAGACAGTAGTCAGATTATCAGGGCAGTGTGAGTACGGGCTAATGATGAAACCTGGAGAGAGTAATCAGATAATCAGGGCAGTGTGAGTACGGAGTGATGGTGCAACCTGGAGACAGTAGTCAGATAATCAGGGCAGTGTGAGTACGGGCTAATGATGAAACCTGGAGAGAGTAGACAGATTATCAGGGCAGTGTGAGTACGGGCTAATGATGAAACCTGGAGAGAGTAATCAGATAATCAGGGCAGTGTGAGTACGGAGTGATGGTGCAACCTGGAGACAGTAGTCAGATAATCAGGGCAGTGTGAGTACGGGCTAATGATGAAACCTGGAGACAGTAGTCAGATAATCAGGGCAGTGTGAGTACGGGCTGATGGTGCAACCTGGAGAGTAGACAGATTATCAGGGCAGTGTGAGTACGGAGTGATGGTGCAACCTGGAGACAGTAGTCAGATAATCAGGGCAGTGTGAGTACGGACTGATGGTGCAACCTGGAGAAAGTAGACCAATCATCGTGCCCAAACTTACTCAATAAGTACGTCCACTGTTTAAAGAGTTTGACTTCCATACCATTATTTCACAAAGAAGTCTATGCTTGTGAATGTGCCAAATGTCTGCTTGTTTAATTTGCTACACACATCTTCAGACAAATGAAACAAGGTACGGCCGCTGAGTCGATATCCTTTCACCATTCATTCGAGCCAGCAACAGACTCGCAAACATTCAGGGTGATTGGATCAATAGTCATAAATACCCGTATTAGGCGTTATGACATGGTCGACAATTTCAGGTTCGAAAATGCACGTTCGGATTCATTTAGGTCAAGAAAATTGCCGTAATCGATTGTTTGTGTGTTAATTGCTTGTAGTGTAATCTGAAGCTTGATTTTGTTCTCAAGTTCGCTTCATGCTCGACATTTCCTGCATTGTCTAAGCGATTATGTTGTGAGAGCGTTTTATGATGAGTGGAAACTACAATGCGCATTTTTCACGTTTATCACGGATGTGTGAGAACGCATGGTTATGCAACCTGGAGAACGTGGACCATTTATCGGGACCAAATCTACTCACTCACTCGCGGTAAAATCGTCGTCAGGATGATGAGAACGCATTATAATCAACTTGGACACGATAGACCAGTCACATGAGTCCGAATGATGTTGCAACATTAGACAATGCCCAAACAGCAGAAGGAACATGAGTCCGTTGTGTCACATCAAGCACGGAAGTTCTGAGGCCATTCTGTACGTGGTGATATAACAGTAACAGTGACAGAAGCGGAGTCAGGTTGAATCTACATGATATATTCACATACTTATGTATCCGTGTTAGTTGCCCCACATGCCGATGGTTCATGATATGGAGTAATACAGTCCCCACGCTACTTCCGTGTCCACTTAAAGGCTGCCTATGTACGATAACGTCAATAATCGTATGCCCAGAGACTATTTTATATGCAATGCACACACTCTGAGCTCATACTTGGTGCTATGAAATCCATAATTTCAAACAGGCAACTGTCAGGACATTCCTTAACGTCGAATTTACATATCATGTTCTGTTGAAAAAATAACAATGCTTCGGAGACGCAACAGACAGTATTTTATATTTTCATACATTTGAAAATGTTTTCGGAATGTTAATATACATGGTCAGCTTTCATCAACAAGTAGTGCTGCTTCATCACTGATGGACCCGTGAAGGTCCGGGTTAGAATATTGATCTTCAGTAACCCATGCTTGTCGTAAGAGGCGACTAACGGGATCGGGTGGTCAGGCTCGCTGACTTGGTTGACACATGTCATCGGTTCCCAATTGCACAGATCGATGCTCGTGCTGTAGATCACTGGATTGTCTGGTCCAGACTCGATTATTTACAGACCGCCGCCATATAGCTGGAATATTGCTGAGTGCGGCGTAAAACTAAACTCACTCATCACTGATGGCCATGGGTGTATGTGTTTTATACAACAAACATGAATCTAGATTATAAAAAGGGGAGAGAACTGTTCTGTGATCCCATGGACTATAGGTTAGTGTACTAAACAAGCAGTATGCGTAAATGTCGCCCACAGACCTTTCTTGGAATACTTGGAGATCCGGGATAGATGTGATATTCTGCAATCCATGTTTTTCGTTAGAGGCGACTAAGACATACGGTGGCCAGGCTCGTTGACTTAATTGATACGAAAATATTGCGAAATATTGCGGGGTGTTACGCTGAAGTATATACAAATTAAACTCTTTGTTTAGCTTTTACACAAACTCAGAAAGGGAGGTATTATCTGTGATGACTGCGATATCTCAGGTTTCGCGCCACACAATGCCTCTATCGCACTATTTCTTTGACACATCGTACTATCGCTTCATTGTATCGCACTATCTCTTTGTCATATCGTAATATCGCTCAATTACATAGCACAATCAATCTGACGCATCGCAATATAGCTATGTCGCATTGCAAAATCCGTGTCTCGTCTCACAGTATTACGTGTTCGCTTCGCACGACCACAAAGATTTATAGCAATATCGCATTCGCTTATACCTCTCTCCCTGCTAAATTACATACTGGCTGGTGTTAAAATTAGTATGCCTAGGTCCATGACGTCACCTTTGTTTTGTACACGTTGTTTTGGCATCTCGAGCATTTGTACATAAAAACATCTCCATTTTCAGTCTTAATTGGCTGAACATAATCCCCCTTTAAGAATCCAGGTCTTTTAACTGTCACTAGTTAACGCTCCATCGTTTTCGGTTCACAATATGTTAATAGAATCATTTTCAAACTCGCAAATAATTCATTCTCGTGATTGAGAAGCGAGTCCATTAAAAACAAAGCAATGGGTTTTCAACTATTCATTCCCCGTTGCTCGCGCCGAGTTACCGAACGGGAAAATTGCATTTCTTTTGCACTAGAGGAAATTAAAGTGTTGCACGTTTTCGGGTCAGAAATGCAACATAATCAATAATTCAAACCACGATACATTTTGTTTGGGTTTTCTTTATCTGTTCTCAGTTTGAGCTGATTCTCCATTTTTTACAAATTGATGATGTACGTCTGTGGGCACAGCGAACACAAACTGTTTGAAATACCGTATCTACTGCATCTGTCTATTATATAGACAGCCTCTTATATTGTACAGATCTAAAAATTCAATTATCACGAAAACCAGACGCCCATGATAGCGATAAAACTTCAAATCAAACAGTGTTAGAGCTGTTCCCACAGACGACCAGGGGTCTGAATATTCGACAACTCCGCAGCGTCAAGGAACACAATACCACCACCACGCCAATTGCACCCGTGCTAAACCAAAACATGTTTTTCCCTTTGTCTGCTATGATGCATCAATTGTCCCAACTGTTAATCATCCGCATTTTTTCACTTGCGCGCAGTCTGTTGACAGATCAATATTTCCAAGGTAACAGTTTTCCTATGACACCGGTTATCTAATTTCACATAACTCTGCGTTAGCCATGCTAAATTATTGAACAACTGTCTTGTCGTCGTACAAACGATTATGTCTTCCCATTCTCTCAACGTCATATGACAGAATGTGTTCGTTACTTTCCAGAACAAGTGCTGTCCCTTGCCAGGACTCCCTACCCGGAAGCCAAAATGCACGGTGTGCGGTCTGGGTTAGCTAGTCTGACACTACACCGGCTGGGCTAGCTGAACAGCTCACTTCGTTCGTCTCAGTTGCTCGACAATGGCGGATTAACAAGTTCAGCGAGCCATTCTCCGCGCCTGTAGTGGAATATGCAAAAACCATGCAGGTCCTTACAGGACTTGTGGTGATATTTGGATTTTTTCTGGAAATATGGGATCCCGCGACGGGTAAGTGGTGTGCGTGACTCAGAAGTGTGGCTTTAATAGGTTGAGCGGAGTAACTCACCTGATTATTGTGAGCCTCGGGATTCTGATGCATGTGTCATCGTCATTGTGATCTCACTTTACGTGCAAGCTGAAGCAATATCTTCAGATTATATCATCTTTGTAACTCAACACCCAGGCAATTCAACCTTGTGTTGAATCTCAGTCACTTGTGTGACTTGAATGGACGGTGAAGGTTGTGTTCATATATCGAACGTGAGCTGAACTGCTTGTATATGTTTACCCTTCCTTGTGTCAATATAGCTAAATCAATTGTATGTTGTAACACGTGATAATAGCGTTGTGGACATGTCATTTATACCACATATTCATAGCTAACCTAACCTCTGTTACATGCAGACGTGAATTTGTTTGAAAGTATTTTGAACTTTCTGAGAGCTCGTCATGATTCATTGGGTGATAAAGTTCACACGACAGTACCTTGTGTCTCTATCGAACATGTGACACTTAATCTTCGTTACGTAGCCTACCACCCTATCATTACCCTTCACATACACAACTCTATTGACCGAAGGGCATGCGGTGGAGCGAGAGATGGGCAATGTGGTGTTATTTGTGTCCACGAGCTACCTAATTTTCTGAGCAGTTTTCACATAACACAGACGACCATGAGGATTTTCCGTCTGACTGAAGTTTAATTTTCTAGTAACCGAAGCTGTTCTCTATATATAGCGAGGGGGATAGCGAGCGCATGCATAGCGTTCCCCCTGTCAATGTGGCCTACTTTAATGCTCTGGTGGAAACAGCTGTTGGGCCCAAAGGGCTAATGATCTATGTGTTTGGACCAGCTTATCTATCTTGCCCCTCCTGGCCGACCGTCCCCTGGACCCCTCGTCCCTTCCACTACCCAGATTTAACATTCCCATACTGCCTCCTCTGGGATCGTTCCTGTTGCAATGCATTTCGGATTATTTCCTCAAATATCAATTAAATCGACTTCTAATGTCCGCTGGAGAACCAAACGTGCCACAAGAGGGTCTCTGGCTGTGGAGTTGGACGTGCATCTTCCTAACGTCTTTGTGAATATCCCATTGCAGCTGAAACACTCCCCTGCACATACGCGAAGCTTGTGTTCTGGAGCAGAGCTCATGTTGCTAAGTATAGCTACAGGTATCATCAGACCAAACATCGTCGGTATGTGCGGGTATAAATGGCCCGGTCGAGGTCAACGTGAGGTCGGTTATTGGGGCAGAGGGGATACACTTGACTGAGTCGGTATGCGACACTTTGCGGCTTGCTATTATACCCGTACAGCAATAGCAAGGATTGATGAATGCATTGATAATTGGCCGTAATTTGTTTCCGCGCCTGGAACACTTCTCGCCGTAATATTTGTATAGCTTTGATTGATCCCATCCGAAAGTACCCACATAGCGATAGCGGCTTCAGGAGAAATATGGATAATAGCATGATCATGTCATGCTTTATGACAGGCTCCATCCACTTGATTAGGAAATATGTCGTCTCGAGGATATGTGCCCAGACGTAGATCCACAACAACGTAACATGGATCTCCTCCATGATCTCGGAGCTCCCTACAGAGTTCATGAAACTTGACACAGCGTTGGAGTAGGTCCCTGAAGAGTTTCCAGCAGCGTTAAGAGTTCAGGACCGCCTGCTAATGCTTTGTGATGTTCAATTGTATTACGGTCCGCAAGCCTACGTTGACATTTTGCTTAAGCATCTAGGCCTGGAAAGAAAATATTCGGCTACTCTCGCCACCTTAGGCAAACTGTTAAATGTACCACCAGCGCAATATAAATGAAGTGTCACGTGCCGACAATTGGTGGTTAGAGGTTGTGGAACAATAATATCCATGGGACGAACCTTAATGAACTTTGGCAATTTCTGACCCTCAAAAACCGGATGTTTGTCTAATTAATGTCACACAAGTTGGAATTTGAACTCAAACTGTGGATCCAGCTGCCCCTTTCATACCAAAAACTGCAGTATTACTCACGTCAGGTTAAACGGATGGGAACGGAATGTAACGGAGCCCCAAAGGATCCGCCGCTTCTGTTAACTCGCTCCTTGTCAACATGGCGACACAACGCATCGAAAATGTTGATTTACGATGACAAAAAATAGAATCCCAATTCTGACAACATTCAATCATTATCAAGTGCTTTTCAGTTGAGTTCCAATTTCACAAAATTGAGCGAAATCCCTTGGGACGACAATGTTCCGATTTGCCACCCAGACAGCTCTAGGCCAGTCAGGTTTCAACATTCATCAAACCCCAACACATTGTTTTTGTACGTTGGGCTCACGAAAGCGTTACGCAAGTTTGTGTAGAAGGTTATTAATTAGCTCCCAAGCCGGTGCGGGTTTGGTAGCCAGTGTTATTGTATAATGAGATTTAATGTGTGGCTCCGTTGCGGTCTTTAATGACGTGGAGCGTATACTCAGCTGTTGTGATACCGTCATTGTGGCTAATTGCTCTTACTGTTACAGAATGAGAAGCAATTTGTTGCACTCACGTAATGAAATGTGTTCATCTGGTGTACAGGCCTTTACTGTCGGTTATGCCTACGTGTCACATTCAAGACTTATGTGAACGTATTAGTCCAACGCAAACACAAATATCGATTATGTTTCATGATACACACTTAGAGTGGACTGTTTGACAGTATGTAAACTAATTTATAGCAAACATTCGCCCGTTCTCGCTTCAAGTCATGCCTGGGTTAGGTCAACCTAACCCTAGTCTGTCTCACAGTCCCTGAACCACATTAATTTCCTACTGCCAAGCCCTCTCTGCAGTGCTAAAGCCCTAAATAAAGCAAGTCTAGATTTCCTCAGGTTCTGAATCTCTGGTCTCCCCAGGGCTCCTTTTCAATATAAATGGGCTTGTTTGTTACTATCAAAATTATATATATTCAGAGACTAAACCTTAGTCTAACCTAACCCCTGCGATAAGCCGGCACTAACGAAGACTTGCACAAGTCTCTATGATAAAAATTAATAGTTTAATAATAATTTCTAAAAAAAATAATAAATAACAGGTTGGGGTCCTTAGACAGTACTGTCCGCTTATCTAGACTTGCCTCTTTAAAGGATAGGATTACTATACATCCGTGGACTGAGCATTCAGTACAGCCTTGGAGCAAGGCTAGCACTAGCCCTACATGGTGTCGTAATACGTCTAGCCAATTTTTACTAATTTCGAGGCAGGGGTTACGAACCGTAGTTTTACCCCTGTATGACCTTGTTCTCATTAAGTTGATTATATGCATACCTGACGTGTGGCTATACAGAGTGTGAAAGGGAGGTGGGACAGCTTAGTGATTAATGCGTTCGCTCGTCACGCCACTGTCCCGGGTTCGATTCCCCATGGGTACAATGTGTGAAGCCCATTTGTGCTGTCCCTCGCCGCGACATTGCTAGAGTATTGCTAAATGTGGCGTAAAACCAAATTCCCTTGCTCAGAAGAGTAAACATTACCCTCACATTATTCTGACATCCACATGATAGGAAGCGAGCTTAGTATGAACTTAGTATGGATTAACAATTCAAATACCTTAATTGACGACGAGCCGAGATTTCCAATTATTGCAGTCTCTTCTACGAAACAATTACCAATTCCATTTTGCGTCATTGGTCGAACGTGTTCTTCAAAAGCCTCAAATTATGGCCAGCTTGCTCAGTAATCCTTTGTATCGTGCTCATTTGGCAGCTCAATATTAGCTCTGGTCAGATAATGGCTCATTTGTTGAACAACGGAAATATTAATCGTGGTCAATATTGATGACCATCAAAGATGACAGTTACAGTAAGCCAGGAGGAACGCATTGCTAATGTAAGGGCCATTTGTATGGCTAATGCATTCTTGTGTACGACAAATTCATTTAAAACCAGTTTGACTTTGTAAAGATGGAAAGAGCTGCAGCTGTACATTTGTGAACACAGCATCGTCACAGTGCAAATGGCCGTGCAGTTGGAAACTTCAGATATCTTCATTCTGATCAAGACCCGATAACGTGCATGCCGTTTATGATTTTATAGGCGAGCATGTTGGCGCTATTTCTGACGGGGAAAAGCCCTGCCGTCCACGGGACAACAGTTAACTGTGAAGAGTTACGTCTCTTAGGTGTTCCAGAATCTTGTGATCGGGGATTGGTCTGCTGAATTGGACCTGATGTTTTAAGCTTGTCAGCACCATTCCCATTGGTAAACGTCTGAGACTCCCTACACTTACGTCTCCCCCCACCCCCACCTCCTCCCGCAAACACAATACTGTAACTTAAATATAATGTCGTTTAGAAGTTAAAGAGTTAAAGCAAAGTCGCTGACTCTACCACAAATACGCGTTGTGAATGTCAGGACGGTTATTTGGTGTGTTTTGTACATACCCACTATTTATATTGTTTGGATATTGTTTTACGCAAGAGTAAACGGCGTTTTGAGTACATCATGATACCAGTTTATACTCGTAGCTTGAACAACGGGCTCATCGGGTGCGATGATAGCAAGCCAAGTCAATCTTGACCATCCGATTCCCATCCATAGGGTCTCTTATTATTGGACGGTTAGGTGGGGTAGTCTAGTGCTTAAAAGCGGGTTCGATTCCCCACATGGGTACAATATGTGAAGCCCAATTCTGGTGTTCCCCGCCGTGATATTGCTGGATTTATTGCTAAAAGCGGCGTAAAGCTGAACTCACTCACTTATTATTGGACGAAGGATGATGTCAGTTCTATGAATGCGAACACCCATCAATACATCAGTCTGTGTAGTAAAACGACGACACAACGCCGAGCTCAGTACACCGGTGTACAAACAGTTGAACGACCATGTGTAGACCGTAGGGGATTTCGGCTAGTTAGGTTCAGCAGCCATATTGGTCTACATGAAAGCTGGGAAACATGATGATGTAATTATGGTTGGATGCTGAGCGACTGTCTGGTTGAAAGTAAGCATGGTTTTGGTATATTTCTTTGTTA